GAGACCGCTGCTACAGCCCCTGTGTAACCAACAGCCATCCTCCCCAAGTCCCATTGCCTCCTCACCCAGACGCCCAAGAACACAGTGGGGGGGCCTTCGGCCACCCACTCACTCCACCCTAGATGATTTCCATAGCAATAAGTTTTAAAGTTTTAAATTGGAGTGTGTCCTTTTCCTTCCCTCCTCCCCCACCCATCCCGGGCTACCTTTCCAATTATCCCCCTAGTTGTGTGATGAATTAATAAAGAATGCATGAATGTGAAGTAACAATGACTTTATTGCCTCTGCAACTGGTGCTTGAAGGGGGGAGGGTAGGGGAGGGTGGGGTGGTTGGTTTACAGGGAAGTAGAGTTAACCGGGTGGGGGGGGAGGGGCGGAGGGTTCATCAAGGAGAAACAAAACAGAAGTTTCACTCCGTAGCCTGGCCAGTCACAAAACTGGTTTTCAAAGCTTCTCTGATGCGCACAGCGCCATGCTGTGCTGCTCTAACCGCCCTGGTGTCTGGCTGCGCGTAATCAGCGGCCAGGCGATTTGCCTCTACCTCCCACCCCGCCATAAATGTCTCCCCCTTACTCTCACAGATATAGTGGAGCGCACAGCAAGCAGCAATAACAATGGGGATATTCTTTTCGCTAAGGTCTGAGCGAGTCAGTAAGCTGCGCCAGCGCGCTTTTAAACGCCCAAAGGCACATTCCACCACCATTCGGCACTTGCTCAGCCTGTAGTTGAACAGGTCCTGACTACTGTCCAGGCTGCCTGTGTACGGCTTCATGAGCCATGGCATTAAGGGGTAGGCTGGGTCCCCAAGGATCACGATAGGCATTTCAACATCCCCAACGGTTATTTTCTGGTCCGGGAAGAAAGTCCCTTCCTCCAGCTTTCTAAACAGAGCAGACTGCCTGAAGACGCGAGCATCATGTACCCTTCCCGGCCAGCCCACGTTGATGTCGGTGAAACGTCCCTTGTGATCCACCAGGGCTTGCAGCAGCATTGAAAAGTACCCCTTGCGGTTTATGTACTCGGTGGCTTGGTGCTCCGGTGCCAAGATAGGGATATGGGTTCCGTCTATCGCCCCACCACAGTTTGGGAATCCCATTGCAGCAAAGCCATCCACTATGGCTTGCACGTTTCCCAGAGTCACTACCCTTGATATCACCAGGTCTCTCATTGCCCTGGCAACTTGGATCACAGCAGCCCCCACAGTAGATTTGCCCACTCCAAATTGATTCCCGACTGACCGGTAGCTGTCTGGCGTTGCAAGCTTCCACAGAGCTATCGCCACTCGCTTCTCCACTGTGAGGGCTGCTCTCATCCTGGTATTCTGGCGCTTCAGGGCAGGGGAAAGCAAGTCACAAAGTTCCATGAAAGTGCCCTTACGCATGCGAAAGTTTCGCAGCCACTGGGAATCGTCCCACACCTGCAGCACGATGCGGTTCCACCAGTCTGTGCTTGTTTCCCGGGCCCAGAATCGGCGTTCCACAGCATGAACCTGCCCCATTAACACCATGATTTCCACATTGCTGGGGCCTGTGCCTTGTGAGAGGTCTAGGTCCATGTCCATTTCCTCATCACTCTCGTCGCCACGCTGCAATCGCCTCCTCCTCCTCCTCGCCTGGTCCTGGTTTTGCTTTGGCATGTCCTGGCTCTGCATATACTCCAGGACAATGCGCGTGGTGTTCATAGTGCTCATAATTGCCGCGGTGATCTGAGCGGGCTCCATGATCCCAGTGCTAGCTATGGCGTCTGGTCTGAAAAAAGGCGCGAAAGTAGTATCTGACGGACCAGGGGAAGGAGGGAAGGAGGGAGGGGCGAGTGACGACATGGCGTACAGGTACAGGGAATTAAAATCAAGAAAGGTGGCTTTGCATCAGGGAGAAACACAAACAACTGTCACACAGAATGGCCCCCCCCAAAGATTGAACTCAAAAGCCTGGGTTTAGCAGGAGGGAGGGGGGAAGCAAATGAATACAGAATAAATCTATTTTTTACATCTTAAGACGACGGTGCAGCATGACTGATAGCCCTTGGCATTTTCTGGGTGCTTGGCAGCAAATACTGGGCGCTTGGCAGTTAGCCTTCAGGTCTATTGCACCATCTGATACCCACTGCAGTATGACAACGATGGATACCAGTCGTAATATACTATCTACTGCCCAAAAGGCAAGGGGTTGCTGCTGTGTAGCAATCTAGCCCCACGTCTGCCAGCCCCATGTCTGCCAGTACCCAGATCGCCCTCGGCCTCTTCTGGGTGCTTAGCAGACAATACTGGGCACTTGGCAGAAAATAGCATACTACGACTCTGCTAACGTGCGATGAGCCAACAGGGCGCGTGGCAGAAAATGGCATACTACGACTGATAACCATCATTGTCTGCCCAGGTGCCCATGATCGACAGCCACTGCTGTCCGATGAGGACGGTTACCAGTCGTAATAAACCATCTACTGCCAAAAGGCAAGGGGGCTGGTGCAATGCAGCCCCACGGCTGCCAGCCCCACAGCTGCCAGCACCCAGATCACCAATAAAGGCTACCAGTCATGCTGCACCGTCTACCGCCAAAAGGCAGTTAGCTGCTGCTGCTGTGTAGCAATGCAGTCCCACGTCTGCCGGCACCTAGATGACATATGGTGACGGTGAGCTGAGCTGAGCGGGCTCCATGCTTGCCGTGGTTGTCTGCACAGGTAACCCAGGTAAAAAGGCGCGAATCTATTGTCTGCCGTTGCTGTGACGGAGGGGGAGGGGCCTGACGACATGTACCCAGAACCCCCCGCGGCACTGTTTTGCATCATCCGGGCATTGGGATCTCAACCCAGAATTCCAATGGGCGGCGGAGACTGCGGGAACTGTGGGATAGCTACCCATAGTGCAATGCGCCGGAAGCCAACGCTAGCCTCGGTACTGTGGACGCGGTCCGCCGAACTAATGCACTTAGAGCATTTTATGTGGGGACACACACAATCGGCTGTATACAACCGATTTCTATAAAACCGGCTTCTATTAATTCGACCTAATTTCGTAGTGTAGACATACCCTCCGTCTGCAGCCGAAGACGGTTGAGAAGGAACTGAGGGGACGGTGGGGGGTATGCGCACCACAGAAGGTGCCAACGGCTGCACAAGACGACTCCTGTGCGCACCCTTCCCCCGACCGAGTACAGCTGCGAGAAATCTCTGATCTCTGGCACAGGGACGCAGCGACACCTAGAGTGGAGCACTCACAGGGACACCACTCGAAGAAGAAATATGAATTCATTGATAGGCAAACAGCATGTTATTGGCATTTCTATTTATGCTTTTAACTGAACATTATGACACAATTTCCTCTTACTTTTGATCATGCTAATGTCATTGGCTCCATCTCCGATGGCCAAGGTGACTGCTTTCCTGTGCTTCTTAACCAGCTCTACCACTTGTGCTTTTTGTAAGGGAGTCGCTCGACAACAAATCACAGTTTTACACATGCAGGCAACTTCCACAAATTCATTCTCCAGATCAGCCTCAAGTGCATGAACCTGGAATACAAAATATTCCCTATCAGAGTACTGGAACTGTAGCTATAATCAATAGAAGATGTGATGGGTCGGAAATGAGAATTCTTTGCATATAATAAATAGGATATATCACTTTTAAATAAAATAATTTCAAAAGTTTTTTTAAACAGCTGAAGCCTTTAGTGGAAGATACTACACATCTCCAGTAAACACAATAAATCAGTCTCATAAGTGTATACATATAATCCTAACACACAATGTAAGCGAAGCTACATTTTGTTGTAAAATACTTGATTTAATTACACATTCAATACAAATATTAACAAAGGGGGAAGAAATAACCTAAAATTGGATACATTACAGTTATTTCAGTCCAGCACTTGACTTTCCAGCTAACTTTATGAGAAATTAAAATGGCCTAATCCAGTGAATCATCAGCTCTGCTGCAAGTGTTTAGTTGCAGATACTCAATGTATCTTTGTGGTTCAGCACCCATGGAGCCTCTTCACAATTCAGATACAGTAAAATGCTGGCAATTAAATAAAGTCTGGCCAAACTCTGTGGTCTGCCTCTGCCTTTGGACTGACATATAGCTAGTCCAACTGTATGTGGCATGTGAGCAGGGTCACTGGAAAGATGCATAAAATGTTCCCATTTTGACATATATTGTGCGGTTTCATTTACTGTGTGACAATTTTTCCATTAAAATGTAGGAGGGACAGAAAACCTTCTGAAAGCCCCAGGCAAGAAAAGGACAGGGATCTCTTCAAAATCATGGGAGAGGAAAAACTTCAGGTCATTGGTTTAGATATTATGGAGATGGGGATTAGGGGGGGGGGAGAATACACAAGGAATGGGGAAAAGATCTTTGAAAAGGCTCAGGGGAAAGGGCTAAGGCATGAGCTGGTTGCCTTTTAGATATCTCCGAACATTCTAAGGGTAATTAGAAACTTTATCTTCTTTCCCAATTCTAATTTTAAACTCTGCCAAAACCAGCAAACATCCATTGCTCTTCCCATTCCTTTGGCTCTCTGATGAGACTGCCAATGAGGGTGCCACTTAATCCCAGTGATGGTGCTTGCTGGAGGTGTTCACAACTGAGCTAGTGTCTTATTCTAATCTCTTGACACAGGCTGCTAAACAGTTCTGAGATGATATTGAAACCACAAATCTGGGTATAGAAGAGAAATAGTTTCTGCAGACTACATGACCTTTCTGCTGGAGAGGATAATCTGCCCTAGAGCGGAGATCTGCAACTTTCCATAACTTTCACAGTGTAGAAAGCAACACATTCTTATGGCTGGAATGCAGCTGGAGAGAGCCATGCATACTTAGAACTACCTTAAATGGCTGTGGATCTTATGGAAAAGCTTAAACAATATTCCCATTTACTTCTTCTTTTTCTATTAAGAAACTGTCTGAAGGCAGAACCATTCTTATTCTCAATTTTTAAAAAGAAAATAAAGATCAAAATATATGAACGTACAAAGATTATCATGTATCTTCATGAGCGGCTAATTTCTCAAAAGTGAAGCCTGCGCTTTTAATTCTCTTAAGTTAGAGAGTCAGAAGATCGTTTTGATACTTGTTCAAGATTTTGAACCTGAACTACATTAAAGTAATGTAAGTTTATTCTATTATGACAAGAACCAGATTTCCTAATCAAAGCAAATTGTTTTGGCATCCCTGTAAGATGCTGATATTTAGAAAACCCACTGGAGGTATCTTAATGACATTAATTTGGTGCAGTAATTATTTTAAGGTCAGGTTGTGCTCTCAAACAACAAACATCAGGAAAAAATAACAGCATTACATCTGCCTAATTGCATTCCCTTAATTAATTGGCATTGATTTGTGATATTCCCCTCACACAAGTACTTAAACAATAATAGCAGTGGTCTATGTCTAGTTAAGAAGGGATAAGATTGTGTGAACTAGTTCTTACTATGGGGCCTTCTCCACTATGGCAGTTATTAAAAAAAGCTGTATAGAGTTACTCATTTGATTTCTCTTCCATACACATCCAAAAGTTAAGACGTAATTTTTAATTGTTTCTTGCAATTATGTCAGCCTTTGTTTTTAGCTTTCTTATGAAACCGTTTTAGAGTTTGGAGAGAAATCCGTCATCGTTAGAAAACAAAACAGACATTATTTGGGTTGGGAAGGAAAGGACAAAACCTGAAAAAACTGACTTACCAGACTATGTCCATTTATGACTAATGCATAATCACCAATGACAGTTTCTTCCAAGACTGAGCCCTGCTTTGATTCTTGCATTTTTTCACAAAATACATGACCATTGGAAAGGTCTTTGCTTTGTCCAAACAAATGTTCTTTCGCTTTCCTTAAAAGAAAAAAGGAATATGTTATTATTAATTTTAATCAGACAATGATTTAGAGCTAATTTCAGTTCTGCTGTAATTAATATTACATAAGAGCGAATGTCAGTAGGCAAGAAGGATATGTCTTTTACGTGATGAAGATACTGTAGTACAGTGGTTCTCAAACTAGGGCCACTGCTTGTTTAGGGAAAGCCCCTGGCGGGCCGGGCCGGTTTGTTTACCTGCCGCGTCCGCAGGTTCGGCCAATCGTGGCTCCCAGTGGCTGCAGTTCGCTGCTCCAGGCCAATGGGAGCTGCGGAAAGTGGCGGCCAGTACATCTCTTGGCCCGCGCCGCTTCCTGCAGCTCTCATTGGCCTGGAGCAGTGAACCGCGGTCTGTGGGAGCTGCGATCAGCCGAACCTGTGGACACGGCAGGTAAACAAATCGGCCCGGCCTGTCAGGGGCTTTCCCTGAACAAGTGGCAGCCCTAGTTTGAGAACCACTGCTGTAGTGTGTTTAAAATCTAAGGAAGTAGGTTGTGTAGGTATGACGGTAAGACAATATTCTTGAGTGTTTTTAAATAACTTAGAAGTTAAATAGCAATCTTGATCTGAGTTTGACCAGAGTGATTTATCACTAATTTGGTATTAAGATTTTCCAGGCTTAGAGGAAAGATAGGTTTGGCACAGAAAATGCTGTAGTTACATTTACAGGAGCAAAGAATGAGGAGAAATTCTTTTTCCAGGAATTCTGGGCAACGTGTTTATTTTATTTTGTAAAACAAAAAAAATATACAATTTCAGAATAGCGTAAACTGTGACCTTTTACAAAGTACAATACAAGTCCATTTATAGAAGTAAACTTATTTAGCAACTCCAGGTCATAAGCAGAGATAGCCGAAAAACAACATATTGGAATGTTGTGAAAATTTGGATCATAAGTTAATAACTCTAGTCTATATCCCTATAACCAGTTGAACCAACCCCTCAGCTGGGCTCTGCCATGCTCTCCAACTGGCCTCTGGGAGTGGCGCCACCGGCTACTACAGCTATCCATAGGGTGATGCCTTTACAGTTCCCTGATGTTACTGGAGTGTCTTTGTACAGATTAGGCTCCCCTTTTAGTTGTGGGCTATGTTCATTGTCACGGTCCTAGATTTAAATTTTGCCCACAGTCCTTTTATTGCAAACTCCTCTTGGTTTTTCATAAAATTGTCATACAATTGCTTTATTTGAGATTTTTTTCTGAAGGTTAATTACTTTCACTTTCTGGAAATTTTGTATGCATGCAATATTGTGGGTGAGGTAATATCTTATTTGACCAGCTTCTGCTGATGAGAGGGACAAGCTTCTGCGCTTCCACAGTGCTCTTCTTCAGGTCTGGGAAAAGAAGAGCTCTCTGTGAGCTCAAACGCTTGTCTCTCTCACTGTGGGAAGTTGGTCCAATAAAAGATACTATCTTACCCACTTTGTCCCTCTAATATCCTGGGACCAACAGGGCTACAACAACATTGTATATATTGTGACTCCTCTGTAATAATTTATAAATGGTGTATGTTGACCTGCATACTTTATTGTATGAATACACTGATTTAGTTTAATAGCAGACCATAAGGAAAAACAAGCAGGAAGGGAAGAATAGGTCAATATAGGCAACCCCTCATCTAATATGTGAGGGCTGGTACAGCATAGTGGCAGAGCCATAGGTTCTGCGGAGTCTGGCTGGACCTCCTGTTGAGCCTACCAAACTGGTTTTGTCCAGAAGAGCTAAAGCCAGGCAATAACAAAGGAAACGGATTATAAGGGACTCTCTCTCTCCAAAGAGGAGGTACTTGTTGGGGAGCTATTCAAGGAAACCAGACTGGCACAAGAACCTTCTCAGATGTCTGAAGACGTTAGGCCCATCTAGGCAACTATCACTGGATGGTAGGGCTTTAGGGAAGACAGACACATGTATCAACTGTTTGTTGTTTTAAAATCCTTTTTCTCTCAATGCTTTGTTCCTACTCTTAAAATAAACAATGTTTAAGAAGGCTGTTTTGTCACAGAATACCAGTGGCCACAAACTCCTGAAAAGAACAGCTAGTGTCAAACCCAGTCAGATCTGCTGGGTAAGTACAATTGATCCTCAGTGTAACATACCACACGGCACAGTCTAAGTGTGGGAGACACAGGCTAACAACTGAAAGGGCGCACTCTGAGACTAGAAAAGAGAGAGAGAGAGAGGTGCAGATAGCCCTGAAACCATGGCATATATTTCTATACATTTTCCTTAGATTATGACTTTGTATATGAAATATTCTGTGACATAAGGGCCTGCAATTACATTTAATAGGCCCTGATCCTGCAAAGACTTCACCATGTGTGTAGCTTTGTGCATATGAGTGCTACTATTTACTTCATCAGCGGTTACTCACAGGCCTAAAATTATATACATGCTGAAGTTTTTGCAGGATCAGGCTTTTATATTATGACAAAAAAATCCTTTTAGGCACGTGAAGAGGAAGATGAATTTAAAGTGGAGACTTTTGATATGGATTATCTAAAAATCTTCTAATTAACAGAATTTTGAAAATAATCTCTCTTCTGGGTTCTATATAGTAATGTATGAATTATTCATAAATTTGAATTTTCATATTATTGACCAAGATATTATAAACAGTTGCTATTGAACAGTGATATGTCAAATGTCTGAATCTGAGTTTGCTTTTTCCCCCCTTTTTTTCCCTTTCGTGAACTATGGTTTACTATTTAGCTTTGAATATTTTTCAAATTTATTTTATTTTTAATATTCGCTTGTCTTTTTAGATTTAGAAAAATAATACACAGTTGCTCTACAAGAATCTGGTCTGAACAGACCCTTAAACTTTTAAGAAGTTCAGATCAGAATACTGATCTGAGCTTTGTGGCTCAGATCACAATGTTTAATATGACATGTTTTATAAATCTATGTTCATTTTTTGAAAAAAGTTTCAATTATTGGTTCAGTGAATAAGTTGTTTTCTAAACAAGAGGCAGCTTCTGCATAAAATACCAAAATAAATATGCTGCTCACCAGAGTCCAGGATTTTCTTATTTATTTACAATGTCTGCAGTAAAAGATAGCATACTTTTACTTAAAATACCCAAATTTAGTCTGTATTTGCAGGATATCGTGGTGCTATATGCCTACTTCCAGAACAACATGTCTATTAATGCAATGGAGACCAGGAGTACCACAGCAGTGATGCAGTTGGTCTCCTGGGAAAGGGTGTCTTCTTTGTTCTTTGAAGGCCACCTGGCGGTTGATCTGAAAATGGCACAGAGACAACCAGTGCATTCCATCCCAAAATCACGATAAGGGTAAAGTCAAGGTGCTTTACAGAGGAAATAAAAGATGACACCAGAATGAAACAATAGATAATTATGCATGTTGTCAGAGAAGAGGAACTGGTACTAAAGAAGCCACTAATAAAAAGTCCTCGGGGGGAAGAAAAACTTGTATACTGGCACAAACCTGAATTCAGAAAATATACATATTAAATAACTTATTTTGTTACCCATTTTCTGTCTTACTGAAGATGTGTCTTAACACTAACTTTGATCTAAGCATCATCTTCTATTGGATCCCGCACTGAAATCAAACCACAGTGTTTACAAAATCACCATATATAGTCATGGAAATGACTATAATATCATAAATTCAGTATTAAAAACTTCAGTGGAGGGAGAAATTTTAAAACTCTTAAGTTCCTTTGGCTTGGGAGAATCAGACAGTTTGTTTTAGAACATCAAAGCAGGAAATACCCACTACCTACATAAAGAGTTAAAAGTTGGAGGTGATAGGCCACTTGTTCTATTAGAAAGTTTATATAGATAATTCTCTCCATTCTCTAAACATATATTTTAGCTTCAGTGACACAATATACTGTGCATGCAGACTTCCTAGATGTGTTTCTCAGAAACAAATATGAGTATTTGTGGGTTTCCTGTTTAATTAAGTCCTTTTCCAGTCTGTACTACTGACTCAATTTCTGCTTTCCTTCATCAGTAGCCTATTCCCAAAAGGGTAAAATGCAAGCCAGGATTTACTTGTATTCAGTGATGCTCTCAGATACATGGTGGAATTCATATGGGTTCACATATCCGAGGGCAGCACTGCCTTTTGTTAACTAAAGCTTTTCTTCTACACCATTTGATAACTGGAATCACATATGGATATGTAGTTATTTACATTGCACAATGCAACTACATCACCCAACTTTTTGACAATCTTTTGACTATGCAAACCATGGTACACATTTGTACCTCATTTCTGCCTATCTTCCATGTTTCCAAGATTTTTTTAAAAAGGAAGAATCATTTACTCTGTTTCACCATGTCCATATTTGGTTCCCACACTGCTTTCTTGCTTGAACCCTGGCCTAATGCTCTATGAGTGATTTTCACCCCCCACCCCTGCGCCAAGCTCGACAATTCATACCCAAATTGATTCCTACATAAATAGTTTATGCAAAAATAGAACCCATGTTAACATAACTCATTTTCATTGAATCAAGGCCATATATAATGTATAATGCTTAACCAAAATACACAAATCACAAAAGGCTAAAAAAAAAATTGTTTGTTTACTTAAACTGTTGTATTATGTAGTTTCCCATTATTCAGATTGAAGATATATTAGTTATAGGAATAGGTTGGGACTGAAATGCCCAAACCACTTGGCTGGTGCTAAAATACCAAGGGATAATTAGGTAAACTGATGCCTTGTTTGTCTGATACCCAAAATAGGCAAGAATTTTATGTCCATGGTAATTACAGAAAAAATTAGAAATTGCTATGTTTGGCTCTAGTGCAAGTAGAAAAAAAATACATAGAAATGCAAAAGAGACACAAATAAGAGAACTGAGAAGGAACAAAATTCTAAACTTCACTGAGGAAAAGTAGAAGGGAGAGAAAGGCATGGCCTACCGATCTTTAAACACATCTATTCAGTACGCTGTCTGGAAAAGGTGGAAGGATGCGGCTGCCTGTAAGGCATTTTCCATATTCTAGTAAAATTATAATAAAACACTGTAGAAAGTTTGGTACCATGCATTCTTCTAGTGCTACTGACCAATACTTAAATACATGTGCAACTTTTTCTGTATTAAAAAAAAAGAAAAGTAAAGGCTCTTTTCCTGCAGAAGAGTAAGAACTGAAAGGACCAGGATCTATTATGTTGGCATATTGTCTGTGTATTTCCCAACTGTGCTGTGAGTGGTAATAATTTATTCTATTCCAAGAAAGGAAATTTGCATAAATTTCCAGCAATGAAAATCATAATGCCAGGTACATGTACCATCCAAGAAGTTCCAGCTACCACACTGAGAAAGGAGATAAACGTGTGTGAGAGAGAGAAAGAAACAGAGGTTGAGATCTATGCCCGTGTCGGCACTATTTCTAACAGTAATTATTCTCCTATTCTCCAAATTAATATTACAGTGCCTAACCTAGAGAAACTGCTAACATTTCTTCTTCCAGATGAAGTGATAATGGCATTTGTTCTAACCACTCCACACATAAGCATAAAGTGATATGGAAGGCAGCAGTGGGAGTGAGTCACGGCTACGGAACTCATGACTATGTATATACAATGGCGTTTTCACCCATGCAGAGTGGGAGACAACCAGTATTCTAGCTTGCAGTCTGGAGTACTGGCCTCAAGTCGCTGGTTTGTTGCCTTCAGACAAGCAAGTTGGCACACTTTTATGCCAACTGACAGGACTTTAACAGATGGAATCTTAAGGAAAGGGAAAGCATCATAGAGAGAAAGTCTAATTGGAGTAACAACAAGGAGTCCAGTGGCACCTTAAAGACTAACGGATTTATCCCAAATAAATCCATTAGTCTTTAAGGTGCCACCGGACTCCTTGTTGTTTTTTTGGATACAGACTAACACAGCTACCCCCTGATAACTGGAGTATTTTATGTGCAAGGAAGAAAATAAGATAATGTATTTTAAATGTTTTTTTTACCTGAGTTCTTCACGCACTTCCATTACCGTGTGACCAGCCACTATGAAAATCTCATTCATGGTGTCAGTGAGCATGTGGCAGGAATAACCAATGTTCATGGCAGTTTCTGAGAGACAATAATGTCAGTTTTGCTTAGGATGGTTGTAGTTAAAATCATTACTTATTTATTTTGTAATGTCAACAGAGCATATTGAGAGTACAGTACTATCATAATGAGAGTAATTCTCTAACATAATTACTGGGTTTGATATAAATGTATTACTAAAAATGCACCTTCCTCTGAGCTATATTTTATGGTTATTATTTATAGTGAAGTAGTACTCAGAGTCCAACTGAGATCAAAGCCCTATTGTTCTAGACACTGTTCAAACACATATTGAAAGACCGAAGGAGTTTCTAAATAGACCAGCCAGACAAAGTGGGAAGGGAAATTGAGGCACAGAAAAAAAAACTTGCCCAAGGTCAAACAGATGATCAGTGGAAAAAAGCAGGGATTAGAACCCAAGTATCCTAACTCCTAATACAGTGCCCTATCTGCTATATCACACTGCCTTCCATACGAGGAGTAACCCATAGACAGTCACCCTTGTGCACTAGAAAAAAACGGAGCGATTAAACCCCTATAGGGTCATCATTAGAAAAAAACTGTATATGCTATTTAACGATATTTTTGTAGAGCTTGTTTTTGAGATTAAGATGCTCAAGTACACATGTGCCATTTGAGAGCTTTTTTCTCTCCACTGCGCACCTGTGGCAAGTGCCATATCCAAAGAATTTAGGTCCCAAAATCATGCTGTGATATTAACAACTGAAAATATTATGCATCCTGTGCTGCTGAATCTCAATCCACAAATACCAAAACAATTGGTAGAACTTTTTAGATGGCTTTACAAGACACTATTTGTATTATTCACTGTTCCATACATGACCCCCATCCAGGATCCTGCACACTGCCCAAACAAATACTAGGGTCATGTGGAGAGAACCCTGCCCCCAAGGCCATCGGCTATAGTATACCTTGCTGGAGATGCTCTCCTCTGACAGGGTGGAGGGTGTTCACCACAAGATCCAACAGTCACACCTCTGCTGTCCTCCCAGCATGCCCATGCACAACTCAATGTTACCCTCATTGCTCTGCCTTAATGTGCATCAAGCCCCTCAGAGCTGTGCTTTATTAATAATTTATAAATGTTAAATAACAATAATGTTCAAGGAAATGTGCTCCCTGCACTCCATGCAAGGGGATTGTAGAAATCTCACTGCATTTAGGGTTTTCTATCACCCCACCCCACCCACTTACCCCCAAAATTACACAATATTAATGAATTACCTTGCTTGTCTCCTGTTAGAACCCAGATCTTAATGTTAGCTAGTGATAAACTGGCAATTGTTTCTGTAACTCCTTCTTGTAACTTGTCTTCTATAGCAGTAGCACCTAGTAACTTTGTAAGGAAGCAGAACATTTAAGTGACTTTGTACAAACTTTGCAAATTCACTTAGTTAAACTAAGATCTGGGAAATATAAACAGGATAAACTACATGGTTTTAAACATCTACACATAGATAACATCAAGTCAAGTCAAACTTTAGTACAATATACTACCCTTGATCTACATTCACAGCTTCCACTGAGAGCAATGGAAATTTCCCCAAGTCTCAAAGGCAGTCTACAGTCTAATTTGCATCAAGAACTATATAATACATAATTTCATGGCAATCTTGGCTGGGGATCCCCTGGTTTTGGGGGTCCCTCAAGCCCTTTTCTTGTCCAACAGGCTGGCAGCAGCAGATCTAGAATAATTATCTTCTAGGTTGTAGTTTCTGTGTCAGCTCTTTTAATATGACTATATCTCCATATCAGTATCAGCCAAAGGCATCCTTATGGGAAAAAAGCAAGGATGAAACTGAAGGCATGGGTATAATACCACAATGGGACATAATGTGAATTGTAGTTTATGTGTTGCCCCTTTAAAATAATCTGCAGAGACCAGAAGCTGAAATATCAATATTCAGTCAAGGCAACAAAGGGTGCAGAATTTCAAAGGAATTGGGAAAACTCAGTTGGGGTTCAGAAGCAGGGCCAAATATGGCCCTCAGATACATATATTCAACTCACGTTGATTACAATGGGAGTTGTAAGTGCACATCCAAGAGTAGGTTTTGGCCTTTACAAAGAGAGGAATTGGAAAGAGCAGGCATGGGAGAGGAACAGCTATCTGAGTGGTCAGAGGAAGGGAGTCACCATAACTTATAGGGTAAAGGCAAGAGTAAGTTTTAAAAAATTCTATTGTTTTAATTGTATATATTACATATTGAAGGTTGGCTTTCTGATTACAAAGCAGCATGGATGGTCTTTTCTGAAATGGAACATGCATGTGACTTGATGAAAGTTTTAGGGGAAAGAAAATGGCTGCTTTCTTAAATTTAAAATAAAATCAGGTTAATTTGTATTTAAAACGAGTCAGTTAACCATGGGGAAGAATCCCCTCAATGGTTGCCTTGAATATCTTAAAGCCTAACCACAACTAGCCTAGACATTCATTAGCATTCTTCTAAACAAAGAGGGGCATTGACTGAATATGAACATATATAAAGACTATAACAGTCTTGCTTGTAGCACAGCATCAGGAACGTAAGAGCATATAAAAGTATCAATCTATAACACAGCATCACTTTGCAAATATGTTTTTCCTGTGCTACGTCTCTAGAATATACCATCATGTCTTTTTCAATCTCTTCATATGCTGCAGCAAGATGTTCATTCCTGCTATCAAGTGAAGTGTTTGCCTCCTGAAGTATTTTAAACCACTCTTTAAAGTGCTCTTCAGTCAAGTTTTTGTATGCAAGGGCTAAGGTCCGAAGGCCTTCTCCAGCAAACTCCTGTCACATAAAAATAAAAGATGAGCAGTATCTATCGGAACAACGTGAACTAAATTAGTCATAATCACATTATATTAATTTCCCACTCTGTTAACATCTTTCTTGATTACGGAGTGAATAAGCAAAGGTACTCTAAGATACCACTGAAATTAAATTCTCATAAACCTTGTTTCTGGGGGATTTAAACTCTTCAGGTTTCTTTTACTTTGAGGTAAGGTTGTGGGCACATTTTCTCCTTATAGCTAGATTTTGTTCTTTAAAAAATAACTTGAATGATTTGTGGCAACTTTTATATAAACACAAATATTCTAACAAGAAATTGGAGTGCCTAATATTATTTTAATGCCAGTCCCGAATCTAAAAAATGGATCAATGTTAATAAGCAAAATGTTGTAGTCAGACAGAGCTGAATGTGAATTGGTACCTAAGTGTTAAACAGATGAAAGTTTTAACCTTGAAAGGCAGCTAACGTACCCAGACTACTCTCTTTAGCACAATTAACTAAAATACTTAGCACGCTTTTGGTGCTACCACATATAAACAATAAATAATAATTTCATTGTGAACATTATCACTAATGCATCATCTTAAAAGCATAATACCCATGTACCTAGGATGGTATCAGTGGAAGAACTGTAAGAAACTGGACCAGATAATAGGAGTAGAAATGTCTCAAGCAGTATGTGAATCACAATAGTTCTATGACATGGCCTAAGGTGCAACCTATCTGTTATGCTGACAATAAAGGCTTTAGAGTGAATGGGAGCTGTGGTTGCACCACATCTCTGATCATCAGCATCCAAATTTGAAACCACTGGTCAATACACATAGATATGTATACACATGTTAACAGGTTAGGCCCTTCAACCTAATCATAGAGAGAAACAGATGTAAAGCTGACACCCAACACTTAAAAGCTGTGAAAACATAATATCATCTGATATGTTGGTAGCTCATGTTAATTAATATAGATTCTGATCCTGCATCAGGATTGCCTGGTGCAGACTCCTGGGCTCATGCAGAATCCCACAGGCAACCTGTTATTTCTTTAATATAAAAATGATTGCATACATGATGTTATTCAAAATGTACACATTCTGACAGATTGCACTGCATATTAGATACCTTTATTATCCAAAATATATTCCCTCCTTTATATCTTAGAATTTCAATGACTGACTTTTTTCAAAGTCAAACATCTATCATGAGCAATTTTACTGTTAAAAACCAAAAACATTTCAGGAACTATCTTTGACCCTGCAGCTCATCACAACAAATCAAATGGTTTACAATGCTTCACTAACAACATTTTTTCATCTTCAGTGAATATTTGAACATCCCCTCTTCTATTATACAGCTATTACAATTAATATATAAACAGGAATGATAAAACTCAGAATTTAATGGTTTGAAAAAACAATGAGGCTTTGGAATTAAATTAATATAATGGAAAGGGGAAATTAGACTGATGTGAAAAAAACCCATAATACATCAATATATAAGTACGTATTCCCTTAACTTTACTAGGCAAGTATGAAAATTCAAGGTCTTTACATTTGAACAACTGCAAAGATCAGATGTGTACGATTCCAGCCTTGCTTTCATAAAAAACATGTTGGCCTTCTGGAAAACATTAAAAGAAAGCCAAGAAAGCTCTATTACAGAGACGAAAACAATAGTTATGTTTGTAACCAATATTACTAAACCATCATACTGTATACTTAATGTCAAAGGAGTATTTTTTTAAAGACTCATGGAATGGTTTGTATTAAATGTGGACACTTACAAAGAACATGAATTCTAAAAAAATAAATGAAGGAAATGAGGGCTTTATACAGTTTCCCTTAAAGTTCACATTAGGTTAGACCCTCAAACTGAATAGAAGAGACCTATTTTCTTTAACACCATATTACCAAACTGGATACTTTGTATTCACATCCACAGATTCCCACTGGCTTTTCACAAGGGACTCTAAGGACTTATAAGGATACCTTACAAACACTGTAAATATACCAGCTGTTTCAGGAGTTAACAGTGCACCCGAAAAGCTCTGTCATTTAACTGGATTTAACTCTCTGGTCAGCCAAGGTGAGGCTGAAATTTAAGAAATTCTGGCTCATTTCAGAGCAGAAGGCCTATTAAGGTATTGATTCAGAAAAGCATCTATATTTAGGAAAGTACTTAAGCACATGTTTAACTTTAAACTTAAGTCCCTAAGCGCATGCTTAATGGTAAGTGTGTGTTTAAGCGCTTTTCTGAATCAGTGCACATACCTCAAGATGATCTGATGTCAAATCCATTAATTCTTCATTGGAGGGATGAAGCCTCTCAAATAAAATAGTATCTGCTCCCTTGCAATAAAGTTTTATCTGCCCATCTGGGGTTTGAACTGAAAAAGAAAAGAGAAGTAGAAATTAAGACTGAAATCATTACTTTTCTTTCATTTTCTTCAAATGTTTATTTGACCTACCAGGTCTAGTTAGATGTTTTCTGAACATATCAATAAAAGTACAGCAATCAGCACACGGAAAACAATCCCATCACCTGGGTAGGAGTTAAGTACAGTTCACGTACACTTTAAAAATGAACAGAACACATATTGATACATTTTTCAGCTAGAGATTGGGCAAAAACTGGAACCTCTCAAATCTGAACTCCTTTGAATTTCAGAGGGATGGGACAGGTACAAGTCCCTGGATCTGAAACCTCTCCATCAGTGTTGCTTGTGAATCAGATTTTTCTGTTTCTGCATCAGCTGTGCCCCAGAGTCTCACAACAGCAGCTGGACTTGCAAAACTCCAACATTTGGAGCTAGTATATCATAAAAGACATTTGCAAGATTTTGCTACCATCAAATCTGACTCTGAACCTTACCCCTAATTAAATCTCAAATCCAAACCTTGAACTTTAGTCTAACTAATCTACATCTAAATCCAAATTCTGACATTCTCAGCCCATCTGTAGTTACTATACACATTCATTCTCCCAAAAAGTCTTCATAGAATCATAGAGAGGAAGGACTGGAAGGGACTTCGATAGGACATCTAGTCCAGTCCCCTGCACTGAGGCAAGACTAAATATTATCTAGACCATTCCTGTCAGGGTGTTTGTCTAAACTCTAACCTCTTCTTAAAAACCTCCAATTACAGAGATTCCACAACCTCCCTAGGCAATTTGTTCCAGTGCTTAATTACCCTTACAGTTAGGAAGTTTTTCCTAATGTCTAACCTAAATCTCCCTTGCTGCAATTTAAGCCCATTATTTCTTGTCCTGTCCTCAGTGGTTAAGGAGAACAATGTATCACCTTCTTCTTTATAACAACCATTTACATACTTGAAGACTGTTATCACGTCTTCCCTGAGTCTTCTCTTCTCCAGACTACACAAACCCAATTTTTTCAATCTTTCCTCCTATATCATGTTTTCTAGACCTGGAAACATTTTTTTGCTCTCCTCTGGACTTCCTCCAATTTGGCCACATCTTTCCTGAAGTGTGGTGCACAGAACTGGACACAATACTCCTTACCAGCCTTATCATTGCTGAGTACAGCAGAAGAATTACTTCTCATGTCCTGCTTACAACACTCTTAATAGTACATCCCAGAATGTTAGCTTCCCTCCCCCAATAATACTATATTGTTGACTCATATTTCGTCTGTGATCCACTTTAACCTCTAGATTCTTTTCTGCAGTACTCCTTCCTTGGCTGTCATTTCCCATTTTGTATTGATGTAATTGATTAGGCCTTACTAAGTGTAGTACTTTGCATTTGTCTCTATTGAATTTCATCCTATTTATATCAGACCATTTCTCCAGTTTGTCAAGATAATTTTGAATTCGAACCCTGTCCTCCAAACCATTTGCAACCTCTCCCAGCTTGGTATTGTCCACAAACTTTATAAGTGTACTCTCAATGCCATTATCCAAATCATTTATGAAGATTCCCTTAATTCTTTTCACAAGTACTGCTATTTGTCTTTTTATTTTCTAATGACACAGATGAGATAATTCCTTCTGCATCATCTCAGTTTGTTTCTATTGGAATGAAGTACGATAACATGAACATCACTTTACAGCACAGAACCCTTGAGGAAAAAGCAAGATAGCAAATAGTATTATGAAGGGTACTCAGGAAGAGAGTACTGTGTAATCTCAGGGCAATAGCTTCTCAGAGCATGCGCAGCTGTATTAATGAGAGCTGGAAGGGTTCCAGAGGAGGACTGATCAATTGTTGGTGATGGTTTTCTGCCTCAGAAAAGAAGCAGATTTATGCCAGAATGCACTTGTGAGCACCTTGAGCAATTAAAAAACAGGCATTTTATAAATATATTATGGTGGATACAGAATCAGCTTGAGTTTTATACATTTTTAAAGTATGTGCAACAACTACTTACTGTTGTCATTTGCACCACATAATGTAACTAACCAGTAAAAAATGCTTAGCTTGACTAGAGAGGAGTAAGTCTTGAGCAAGTTCAAGGTGGAGAAAGTTTCCCACTGGACAATATAGCAGGAGTGATTTGTACAAATTAACAGTGGCATTATGGTACATACCATAGTTGAAGTATTTCCACTATATGCCTAATATTTACATTGCCGTCCACAAATACCATCGAACTATCATTTTGAAAGAAGTTTTTTCTGTATAACACATCTTTTGTGCTGTCTCTGCCCAGAGAATGTATTTTTAAAAATAGTTTAAGGTTAATCAGACAAACTGTTTTTCAGTTACAAGGCTTTTAAAAAAAGGTAGTTTTCACTTTTAAAAATCTGTTCTATAGAAACTTTTTGGGGCACTCATAACTCAGACATCTTGCAGTAAAAACTTCAAACTTGCTTTATCCTCTAATCCTCAATGAGAACTAGTGTATAATGATATATTTACCAAGTTGGAATGCAAGACATTTTAGTTACTACTTTTGGTCTCCAATGTGTTTTAATTTCTATGCGAGAACTGGGGAATTTCACAAGCTCCACTTAATTTAAGCAAGCGCTTTCTTGCTCTCTCTCATATTAAAAAAATTTCCAGCCTTTTTCATGTGAAAACCCAATTAATAGGTTTGCAAGTTTCTCTTGGTGATTTTTCCTTAAAAAATAGATGGGTTTCTTAATAGTGCTTTATTTAAGATCCCTGGCTAATAAGTGGAAGGCTAGCAGAGATGTAAGGTACAGTTGGTGTTGGAACTAGAGTAGATCAGAAAAAATTCAATGAAACTTTTTTTGTGCATATTTGGAGATTCATCAAAATTGAAACATTCTACAGAGTTGTGTCAATTTTGGTGAAACTATGAAGGAAACCAGGCAGGGCTCCAATGCAGCCTGCCTGGTTTCCTGCCCGCTTATCCATCTGCCTGGTGGGATACTGAGAACTCTGGCTCTCAGGCTTACATCTCCTTGACAGCCTAGGCTCCCAGAGTCCACCAGCTCCAAAGCAGCCCACCAGACAAAGTGCCCCACAGCCCATTCCAGAAGAATTTCAAAATGTTTGGATTTTTTTCCAAATTGGAACCAAATCAAATTTTGAAATGTCAAAATCTTCCACAAAATGGAATTACTGTTCTCCACCCAGCTCTAGTTGGAACCTCAGTTGTGAGGAAGTAACTGCTTCTTGTTATTTAGCAGGCTCCTATTTGTGCAGCTCCTTTCTGAGTTAATGGGGTTCAACGTGGGAAGTAGCTTTCAGAAGAGATTAAACCAAACCAGAGCCTATTTTTCATCATGTCTTCTATTACCCTCATTTTTGCTTTTCTTCCATTCTCTATCCCTATTCTTCTCTCCTTAATTTTCCTTCATCATCTTTTTCATCTGTCACTTGGACATCCTCCCATATTTGTCTCCTTCACCTTTTTCTCTCCGTCATAAATGAAGAAATTATTAAGTGATTTACATTTAGTCCTTGTTGTACTGAAATTTTTTCCGAGTCTTAATTAGCCGTACTTCCCTTGTCCCTTCTACTTATATTTTCTAATTTCAGCTGAAACCATTAAAGGTCAGCATTTAACTGATACTATATGGTTATAACAAATATTTTCTATTCTAAGCACAGGGGAAAACTGTGGTAAATGTTCTCAAATGCTTACTTTTTAAAGGCAATAACTTGGTCATGTCTTTGCAAACTTAGCTTGCTTAGTAAACTTTTTTTCTAGTACAGGTAATCCTCGAATTTAAGATGTTCGAATTATGATGAACAGCACTTACGATGCTTCTACACGGACACCCTGATTCAACTTATGACTGTAAGTTTCAAGTTTACGACGCTCAGTCCCACAATAGAGTAGATTGTGGTTCCGAGTTCCGACATTCCGATTTACGACGCAATTGTAAGGAACCAATTGTGTTGTAAGTCTGAGGACTGCCTGTATTATTCTGAAAGCAGATTTTTTGGTGTAGTTTTAAAACACACTCTAAAGTTTTTTTTCTAGATATACTTAAGATTTCTATTATTTAGTTGCTGATATTATTGATCATTTACACTTGCTTGATTACTGTAAAGCACTTTGATAAATGTTAATAGAGCTATGTAAAACCAATAAATCAATCCTAATTGTAAATCCCTATAGTTGCCGGTCACGTGCTCTACAGAAACAGAGTGAGAAAAAGAGCAAAATGCATGGATTTGAAAAACTGTTTCATTATCAAATTTCCAGAAAACAAAATTCAATGCAATTAATAACCTACGGCTACTATACTTTGCATCCTTCCATCCAAGGATCTCACAATGTTTTATTAAACTGAAAAGTATCATAATCCCCATATTACAGATGGAGAAAGAACCAGTCTAAATGACTCTAAGGTACCGAGAGTCTATGGCAGAGGAGGAAGTGACATCTAGATATCCTGAGACTTCCACTTCCTTCCTTTTTCTAACCATGAGACTAAATTGCCTCCTTTGGCAGTTGGCAGGTTAGAGCTCTCACTGGTAGCTAAAAGTTGGCTCTAGGTGTGTGTGTCTTGCGAACAACAGGCAAAAAAAAAAAAAAAAGAAAGCTATATGCTGTACCTATTACAGACATCCTTTTCCTGATATTGTTAAAATCCAGAATTGCTAAGAGCTGGTATGTAACAAGTTTGCCCATTTCTTCCACAGTGATGGTCTCTGGGGTCCGAGACTTAAAGATGAAACCGAAGTTTCTGGCAGCGGTTACTAGAGCACCTTCATCTGGCGACTGCACCTGGTAAATCAATTCACCTACAAGAAAAAAAACCCAAACACTGTAAGTAACCGAGTTTTGAGCCCTGAATTAATAGCTTCAATTCTAGTCCATTAAAGAACAGCAGTACTGAACAGGTACTTCCTGACTGATGACCTCTGCTGAAGGGGGAGCTGCGCTGTCTGACTGCAGTGATCCGTAGGCAGGGGGAGAAGCAAAAAAGGCGGGAAAATGATCGGTCACAAAACTTAGTAAAAGTCATTTCTCTGGGACCAACTCATCACATTGCAAAATGGCATGAGGTGTGTGTTGGGGTGTATTTCATGCTCCATCAGTGCAACATAATGATGTGGTGTCAGCCATGAACATATTTTGTGGTTTAATGTCAAAGCCTGTCTAGATGGCAAACAAACCAAAATTTTGCCTCCTCTAATGTCCAGGCCCCAGATGCTACTTCCAGGAGGGCTCTGCTGTGGGTGGCAAGCCAGAAAAGGAAGTAAGACAACTGTGTGGGTTTGGAGGAAGTTTGTAATGGATAAGGGTTCAATTTCTGTTCACTGACTGCCTGGGACAAAGATAACATGGTAAGGGACTTCAGAGCGAGATTTCAGAGTCATATTCTCAGAGGAAGTCTGTTCAATCCCTCAGTCTGGGGAGTATTGTACAGTAATTGCCATTAAGAACTTGATATTACCATTGGAAGGTAAAAATAACTTTACCCCCAAACAATCTGAAAATTCCCTTCTTCTGAGGTAAAATGTTGAAGAACATACTCAGCATATTTGAGCATGCTGCACTGCATGCATCAGCTGGCCTTACATAGCACAGAACCTTATGGGAATTTAGGGTACATGTAGATATCACTGGACCCATTTTTCAGATATAGTTATTTTAATATATCAAATTTCTATATCTGGATACTCCACACTGAAGTTAAAGGGGCATGTGTACTAAGATACACAGAAGGATACTGGAAGACCAGTATTCACATTCTGCCCAAGTCATACTGTAAATAAGCATGAAAGATATCCTTTTATGGTTAAAAAGGGCCTCTGTGAAAAGGTCGAGAGATCTGTATGATATCTAGCCAATAAACAGATAAAAATGAGTAATCATAGCTACAAAACCCATCAAAAGCCTAGCTACATGACAGACCCAGAAACAGTCAGGTAGCACAAAAATAGGAACTAAATTATTAACACACAAGTGACCAAAATAATCCCCAGAAGGATCTTAAAACTAGGGCAGATGTCAGAACTTTTTCTTTCTCTCTCTCTCACTCCTGCAGTCCTGAGAGTGCTATACAAAAGTATAGAAAATTATAGTTAAAAGAAGTGCAAAACTAACTTTAATGAAATGGTAAAAGGTGGAGAAATCAACCCCATGAAGTCAAGAAATTCAATACGTTAATGAGTCTAATTCTTCTCCCCATTGCACTAGCATCAAAGCCTCCATGGACTTTGATGGAGTTACTCCAGATTTACAGAGAGCAAAATTTGGCCCACAGTTTCTAAAAATGTCTCAACTCAGCTTCAGTGCACAGTCTATATATTTCATGCTGTACTGAACATAAAACCAACAGTAACTACTATTAAGATGTAAATTTAAAGACAAACATCTATAGGAAATATTTATTTGCATGCCCAATTTTTTTTTACCGATTTCATCCAGTACGAAGCAGCTGAACTAATTTGGCTGAGACGCAAAAAAAATAAATCTTTTGACTGAGACAATGCAGGAATAAATTCAGCCTAAAGAGAAATTTTTTGAGAAAGTTATTAATACATGAAAAAGGAGAAAGTGGGATGGCTACAACAAAAACTAGAGCTCAACCTTATTTCATTTGCTTCTCAAAAACAAAACATATAAAAGTACTGCCCTAATTCTTAACAATAATAATACTTAGCACTTCTGCTGTGCCTGATTTACATCTTACAAACACAAATTATTCTTGCACAATCAAAAACCAAAGCATTAAAAAAGGAAATTGTGTCATTCTAGTAAAATGAAAAACTGTGGCATGGAAACTAGAACATATTGTACTAGCTCTCTTATTAATTAAAAAAATCCAATAGATATACATTTAAATACAATCCACCTTTTGTCACCCGTATAAAACTCTGTCACCTGCCAGGCAAATCTTAGACCACAGTTCACTTCAAACTGTTCCACAGTGAATATTGTCTGTGGAAATCATAAGCTTCTTTCTGTGGCTAAACTTGCTCAGCGCAGTGCAGAATTTCATATACAAATGTTCAAAAATGCAATTCATATTCTGGGTATTAAAAATAAAAATTTCTATGGAACTATCCTAGGAAAACAATCGTTAATAACTTTGCTTAACAACAAATTAATTTCTTCCAATTTACATTCAAAGCTAGCTGGCAATGAAGTTTAACTATGTGGAAAGTGTGAATGATACCAAGCCAGCCATTTATAATTTTTTATTAATTTTTCCAAGTGCAATATATATACCAACATACCAGATTCATCACAAGCCTGCCATTTGTTGGCAAAAGGGTTATGAAAAAAGTCAGATAATGAAGAAAAATTTCCTACAGGTCTCATTTTTTAAATTAATTTTAATTCAGTTACAGATTTGGTTGAAAATCCCCAGAAAATAGGATTTTTACACATGAAATATATACTGTAAATTTTGGGAAGACACACTATATCTAAGTACAAAACAAAGAGATTGAAACCTTGTTTAAGTGAAAAACTGAACCCAATAATAACCAATAGAAGAGATAGGTTTTGGATTCTCCTTCTTTGCATTTATGAAATTCTCATGGAACTTATCCATTAAATTTTTGGGATTTAGCTATCAACTCTCCTGCTAGAAAAAATGAAAAAGGCTCAATGAACAATAATATGAGCAATGAAATAGACTGATTGATCCTATACAGGATGAAGGAAGAGGGCTGAAAAGAATTCAAACTTTCCACCTCCAAGTCACTGCTTTAATTCAACTTTAGTCTGTAGTGACAAAGTCATTAGCAATTGGCACATGTTTCTGAGGCCTAAATGTAGTAAGCTGGTCTCAGTCCAGTTCCTAATCATAATTGGCACCATGCTGGCAGTCTGAAAGAAGCCAAGAATTAAATGGGCATCAAGATTAAAATACCCTCTGAGCCCTAAAAAGAGGCTCTCCAGTTGAAGTCACATTGCCAGTGCAAACATTCCCATAATGATCTACCATTCTCTGAGCTGAACTTGTGAATGGATAGAGACTGTGAGTGAATAGAGGACTTCTGTAAAACAGAGACCTCCTGACCCACCTCTTCAACTTAAAAACAAAACAAAACAAAACCACACATTTTTAAAGGTAGCTTGCAGTGCCCAAATGAGTTAGCATTAACTGGATACTTACTTCCTAATGAACTAGAAGAGTTTAGAATTACTCAATACTTTTTGACACAAAATCCCTGACTTTTTTGTAGCCAAGTACTCCCATCAATTTCAATCAACTTCAAAATCAACACAAGGTTTTTTACTATGAATTGAAGATTTTTGTACTGTTTGAAGTTGAAAAAAACATGCATCAGAACAAAACATACCAAGACAATTACAGGTTATGAGATCATGTCTCAAAACAGTTATGCATAAGTACTAGCCAAAATGTGTTACATCTCAGTTAATCGTTACGATATGGTCCATTTCCTTTTGAATATGCCACAGCAGCGACATAAACCAACACAATTTGATTAGGTAAAAATAAGAAATTCTCCTTAACAGACCTACTCCTTGGGAGGCAGATGGGATAATTGTCTCACAGCTTAGAAACAGAGGTTTAAAATCAAGGGCCTGTTATTTCTGTGTTAAATATTGGACAAGATGATGCATTATCTACTTGTAAATGCTGTGATAATATATGCTCATCCATGAGACAGGTAACTGAGGTGCTGCCACACTCCAAACATCTTCTCTTCCCAGAATCCTGTCCTCTATGACTATGACGATTTATTTTATGCTACACACAGCATGACTGACTTTAAAGAGTCTAATATGATAGAAAAGTATCCAACTTTAATGAAGCCACCAGTGTAAAATGAGGACACAACACAGCAACCTAACATAGTGAGGATAATTAGTCTTCATCTTGAAAGGTGGACTGTGATGCATAGGGCCCTACCAAATTCATGGACATGAAAAACGCATCACAGACTGTGAAATCTGGTCTCCCACCGTGAAATCTCGTCTTTTGTGTGCTTTTACCCTATACTATACAGATTTCTGAAATTGGGGGTCCTGACCCAAAAGGGAGTTGCAGGGAGGTCACAAGATTATTTTAGGGGGGGGTCACGGTATTGCCACCCTTACTTCTGTGCTGATGTCAGAGCTGGACAGCCGGAGAGCGGCGGCTATTGGCCGGGCACCCAGCTCTGAAGGCAGCGTCCTGCCAGCAGTAGTGCAGGAGTAAAGGTGGCAATACTAAACCATGCCATCCTTACTTCTGTGCTGCTGCCTTCAGAGCTGGGCAGCCGGACAGCGATGGCTATTGACTGAGGGTCCAGCTTTGCAGCAGCAGCGCAAAAGTAAGGATGGCAATATCACACCATGCCATCCTTACTTCTGTGCTGCTGCTGGTGGCAGTTCTGCCTTCAGAGCTGGGCTCCCAGCCAGCAGCCGCTGCTCTCCAGCTGCCCATCTCTGAAGGCAGTGCTGCCGCCAGCAGCAACACAGAAGGGTAGCAGTACTGCAACCCCCCCCCACACACACATAACCTTGCGACCCCCTCACAACTCCTTTTTGGGTCAGGACCCCTACAATTACAATACTGTGAAATTCCAGATTTAAATATCTGAAATCATGAAATTTACGATTTTTTAAATCCTATGACAGTGAAACTGACCAAAATGGACCATGAATTTAGTAGGGCCCTAGTGATGCAGCAGAACACCCAATACTCCCAATTCTGGGATCCTGAAAGTGATTTTTACAAAAATGAGGAATTGTAGTAAGACTAGCCTCTCTTCATGAATAACACATGATATCGCTAACAAGAGGCTTCCTAATTTTCGATTTCAGAGTTCTAACAGTTTGCAAGCTGAAGATATTGTCAACACTGCCAGACCAAGATTATACACAATTTGTTCTCACACACATGAACTATATGGCTCATCCAAGATATGTACCATATATTCTACTTATAAAAATATCCAAATCAGTACTAAAAGGCACAATAATCAAGTGGAAACAAAAATAATTGTATGCAATACTCCAAAGAGATGGAATAATCATGCTTCCCTCTCTTTTGTGGGAAGACTTAATAAAGGCTAACTTTTAATGAAGATCTTCCTGGCCTCTAATTTTGCACATGCACCTATGCGCACTATCACTCACTTAGGCGAAATCGCCTGAACTAAATTAGGGGCCGGCATAAAAAGTAAGCCAATACAAACGGTGTATGCCAATGCTATGCTCACAGATCAGTTATTTGCTCAGGCAACTAACATTTACATGTGCAATTACTTAATTTGTGCTCAGAAACACCCAACAGTGTACCCAGCGTTTTAAGGGTGCAAGATCTGCACCCACATTTTTATGGCTCACTCTTGACTCACTTCTTCCTTTAAAAATTTGGTTAACCTCTACTTTTTAAGTTAGAAAAGTGCTATAGAAACCAAATAGTTAGAATCTCTTTACTTATAACTAAGCTTTTCAGTAGTTTACCTGCATTTTTTTCTTCAGACATGACTGTATGGCAGAGAGAAAGCAACCTAAAGAACTCATGCACCACTGAGTCTCCTAGTTTAATGGATTCAATCAGGCTGTGATCATAAAATTGAAATTTTCTATCTGCTAGTGGGTTAAATGAAAAATCCACTGGCACTGTTTTCTGCAAGAGAAAAACAAACAAACACAATGTTTAAAAGAGTAAAGATTTTAAATGGTGAGATCCTTTTATTTTGATGTTTTGGTATTAAGAGACTATATTAGAAACCCACACAAAGTAAAATGGCATAATTTCATTTCCTGGTACAATTACATATCTGGATTTTGCATTTGTAATTAAGACTCCTTTTTGTTCTCACTGACAATGGTTGAAAAAGAACTAAAACAGAAAATCAATACTTGTATTTGGTCTACAGGCACAAAAGAAAGTAGTCCTTAATCTCCAATTGTGTAATGTATCTTTTTTCATCAAAAAGTTAAATATCAGAAATATGATTTTTATATGATTTTTTTATCTGACAAGGCTACATTAATATTAAAAAGATAAGTTTTTAAAACTAGATTGTGAAGGGGTGAGGATATTTTCAAAGACACAGATGGCAGTTGGGCCTAAAAGCTAATCAATTTTAACAAGTCTCCAGGGTCCAGACATAAGGCTAAAAGTAAAACACTCCAGTAGACATGGGCTGTGTAGTCTGAGAATGAAGTACATTGAAGTAAATAAACACATTTTCAACCTACAATTTGTTTTGTATTACAGAACCAGTTGATCAGTTTCATCAATGACAGTTCTAAGAATAAAATTGTTACCTGCCTGGTGTCATTTTCCAAACATTTTCAAGTTATGTTTCTTATTATGCCATAAAATCATTTCTACTGTGGTAGGCATCTCATAGAAAAAGTGTTTTTGAAGCAAATTTGGACTGAAAATATTCAGTCACTTTAATCAAGAGACAGAGGGGAGCTAGATGCAGTCTATTTTAAGATACTACAAGAGCAGGAAATCTGTCATGCAATGTGCTGGCTGCTGTGTTCCAAAATGTATGTCACAGCACTCTGCTTATTGGAGTCAAAATTGATCAAGTGTTCGTTGTTTTTCCATTTTAATGGTTGGCCTGCAAAGAAGGTATAAACCTTAATACTACTGACAGCCAATTGAACTGTTCCTCTAGCTCCAGAGGCAGGGAAGCATGCTTCATTCGAGTTTTATTTTTTAGTTTTGTTTACTGAAATCTATTTTTTTGTTTACAAGAACAAATGATAGAAAAGACAAAGATATCAGAAGTACAGAGCGGGAGCTTCTCAATGCAAACTAATTACAAAGAAATATACAGAAGGAAAGAAAAAGTATCAAAACAACAAGAAGCAAAGGCACACCTAGATAACACATAGTAAACAAATAACATACACACAGGTTTAGAGTCCATCAGGATGTTAGGATAGTTTAAAATTAATAAGATAAAAAGTTGACCATTTTTTGTTATGTTCAGATTAGGATCACCTGCTGCATGTTCAGTTAATGGTAGCTAAGTACCTGGCAGACTTGTTATTAGGATTCATAACTGTGTTCTAACAATGAGTTTCTAGAAATCAGGAGGTTAGCTTATGAGGTTAGGGCATGGCCTTTTGTAATAATATTGATACCACTTATACAGAGCTTTTCATCAATGATTTCAAAGCACTTTCGAAAAGAGGTTAGTGTCATTACAAATATATAGGTTTTTACACATTTATAGTGATTTTCTGCCCGACACAGAAAATCTGGGTTTCTTGGGTTTAGCCAAGGATTATCTCCAGTACATGTTAATAGCTTCTGTGCCTTTTTGTAGGGCCTCCAAACACTAGAGGGCAAGGAATTGTAGCATGTTTCTGTATTTCCAAAAAAGTTAATAAGCACTGAACTGAGGTTACACCTTCTATAAACACTGTCATTATTCACTATAAGACTGATCTTGAATTTGAGGGGGTACTGCGCTTCCCCATCTTCCCCTGAACAAGCTACTCAAAGACCCAGATTAAGAGCTTCTGTAGAGATAATAGGAACAAAAGAAGCTGTAACAAGTGATAGCACAAACATGTTCCTGTTTAATTCTACCTTACATAATTTTCCACAGTGTCACTGACGTGGAAAAGGATGCAGAATATAATTGTGACTCATATTTTGGGAAACTAAAGAATCACAGAATGTTGTTATGAATTTTAATAGAAAGGAAGCGGTTGAAGATGAACTAGTGTTCAAGGGCAATGTACTCATATCACTGCAGATACAGCGAACAGTACTGGTCAAATGATTGACTTCCTAGCTATCCCACAACATCAGATACTTTGTTCTGCCTCAGCACAGGGGGGCTGGACTAGATGACCTCTCAAGGTCACTTCTAGCACTACATTTCTATGCTTCTATGCAACACAAACAATGCCAGGGAGTCAATACTAGTTGCACAGCAGGGGGCTGAAAAATCTTGTTTGGTGTAGCTAATACTAAATAATTTAGAAATGAATATGAAAATATGCCCCTTCTAATTTCATGTAGCTAAGCAGAAGATAGTGAATGAGATTAGAATATCACTCTGACTCTCCCCTCCCAAATCTAGCTGCTGTCTAGCTAAAAACAATCTAAAACCAAGTCCTTATAAAGCCAGAGAAATAATGGAATCTAATTGGGATATATGGCTTCTATCAATCCCTATGTTGCTATGTAAGGGTCTGTTCCTGCTCCTACTGACTTCAGTGATACAGGCAGAGCCAAATGTGGGGCTGGAGGAACCTTGAGAAGTCATCGAGTCCAGCCCTCTGTGTCAAGGCAGGACCAAATAAACCTAGACCATCCCTGACAGGTGTCAGCCCAACCTTGTCTTAAAAACCTTCAATGATAGGCTTCCAAGGAAGTTTGTGGAATCCCTATGCTACAGCTTAACTACCCTCAGACTTAGAAAGTTTTTCCTAATACCTAATTTAAATCTCCCTTGCTGCAGATTAAGCCCATTACTTCTTATCCTGCTGTCAGGAGAACAATTGATCACAGTCCTCTTTATAACAGCCCTTGACTTATTTGAAAACTGTTATTAGGTTCCCCCTCAGTCTTCTTTTCTCAAAACTAAACATGCCTGCTTTTTAACCTTTCCTGATAGGTCAGGTTTTCTAAACTTTGTATCATTTTTGTTGCTTTCCTCTGGACTTTCTCCAATTTGTCCACATCTTTCTTGTGCCCAGAATTAGATACAGGACTACAACTGAGGCCTCACCAGTGCTGAGTGGAGCAGGACAATTATCACCCGTGTCTTATATGCAACACCTCTGTTAATATACCCCAGAATGATATTAGCTTTTTTCTCAACAGCATCACATTGTTGACTCATATTTGATTTGTGTTCCTCTCTAATCCTAGATTCTTTTCAGCAGTACTACTACCTAGCCAGTTATTCCCCATTTTGTAGTTGTGCATTTGGTAATAGCTGATCTTTCTCAGTGTGAAAACAAATCAGTCTCACTATTTACATGGCTCTCATCACCATAGTACCTCACAAACATTAATTTATCCTCACAATACATTCCTGCTCCAAAATACTCATTGTTCTATTCAGTTGTTACATACAAAATGTAAGTGCTTTAAATTACCTGAAACAGTACTGCTTAAAGTTACACCTGGTACTGTGTGATTAGCATACAGCACTACTACCTAGAGACAGAAGGGCCATAAAAGGAGGATGTAAGGGCTTGTCTACACTTGGAAGTTCACCAAAACAGCTATTCCAGAATGAGTGTCCATACAGGTGCTTATATTGAAATAACTGTTCTGGAATAATTATTCTGGAATAGCTATTTTGGTAAATTTTTAAAATGTAAACAAACTCCTAGAGGGAAAAGAAAGTTTTTCTTGCCTATGTCTTACTATAAGTTATTCTACAGCATGTTTCAAGTTCGGGGAAATTAATGTTTCATTGAAAATTACTGATCTATTGAAAATATTTTAATGATGAAATGAGCCATATTACAACATACTAAATATTTTGTAACTTGGTCATATTTATACCTCATTAATTGCTGTTTTCCGGCCCAGGTCATCATATACATCACCTACAAAATACAAAGTTAATTAACACAAAATATGACATTTAATTCCAGTTTTAGAGTTTTACGAAATAAATTTTTCATGTTTTTTAGACTATGGAGGTAGACATCAAAGAGGAAACATTGCAACAACATTCAAAAATATAAAACATTGCAGTGAATCATGGTACAGCCAACATTATGCTAAAGTAAATGCTTCCATTCTATTGTCCACAATGCCATTGTATTTTTTCCTCCAGCTATTTTACTTATTCTGATTGTTTAGGGCCTGATTCTGCTATCACTTATGCATAAGAATCTAATTTATCACATGAGTAACCCCACAGAAGTCAAGGGGAGTACTCATAAAGTAAAGATATTTGTTGCATATTTGCAGGATCTGGCGCTCAAGTTTTATACGGAGTGTTTATTATGCAATTGAGACATAAAAATATTCACTTGCTGCAAAAGTTACCTTAGTATTTGTAGTATTACCTAAATTTCTCTATACTTGCTACAGAGACTACCTAGAATACTAGCAAATAATAATGTTGTTATTTTAGTAGTCTAAAACATTCTGTAAGACAGTTGGTAAGTTTTTAAAGAATGACCACTTTACACTATAGGATTTTTAATACCATGTTTTTATATTATATCTATATTTACAAGTCTAAAACTCAACAAATATATATATCACCCTTTCACCTTAATTTATTCAATGTCTTTTAACCTGAGAGTTAAGTGGCACAATAATGAAGGCATTAGCTTTTTCACCTCTGAACACGTGGCTTCAAATCTTGAATTAGTGAAAAGGAGTTTGGTGTCTCAAGCTAGTCTCTAGGGGACAGGTGTCAAGATTACAGAAGTGTTGTAAAATAGACACTTGAAATATTAGGTATCAGGCCTGTGGCAGGCCACAATTTTGTTGCATTGGCAGAGACATGGGATAATTTTCCCAGCAACTCCCTGGTGCTAGGCAATCAATCACTTTCTAACAGACATTATTACAAAATAATTACATTATAAAAGACTTCTCAGCCTGTACAAGAAGTATCATGAATATGCATTTAAAACAATACGACTCAGTTTTGGGAAGATTACAATAAATCATTGAAGTTCATGAAAAAGCCCCATATGTTTAATTTATATATACAATGTCATGACTACTGCTTTTATCTCCATTCTTTAATCCTGCATTAAATCCTTGATTATCAGAAGATGGACAAGGCACCTCTAAACCCATATTTACATACTTAAGGAGTCACACCAACATCAGATCCTGTTTCTCTTTTATACAGCCTGATCCAAAACCTACTGAAATTGATCAGAGTCTCTACACTGACTTCAAGAGAAGCTGGATAAGGCTCATAATGAACAAATGTCCTTAATAATCAGCGAATGAGCTAAACTCAACATCACAATTAGAAGTAAACTTTACTGGCAAAACATTAATAAGCACTGACTTACCATATGTTTTTCCATTAATGGAGCATTTGTTAAAAGTCATTATGTTTTGAGTGATTGTTCCTGTTTTGTCTGAGAAAATATATTCAATTTGTCCTAACTCTTCATTGAGTGTGGTAGTCCGAACCTCAGCAGGTGTGTCTTTTTTGGGGTAATACATTTTACGATCCCAATTTATAAAATAGCTGTGACCAAGTCGAATAACTTCCACACTTTGGGGAAAAAAAGACACAAAAACACTCTTCAGAATTGTAAAACCTTTCAAATGAAAATATATCAAATGCAGGAGTTCAATCAAATTTGTTTTTACAGTTCAGAGCAAAAGAGCCATGCAAAGTAAACATTACACTATTCTATACAATGATATCTCAAACTTTAATTCCTCTGTGAAGTAACATGCATGGTAAGAACACTGTCATTTAAAAATTTACATAAATGACATAGTTTTCTATCATTGTGTTAATGATATGGCATTATCAAGTGAGAATAAAATATAGACATTCTAAATTCAAGTATGTTAGGTCTTTTCAGGTTAATACTTGATGAATGAGTAGAGTTACTTCCTTCGCTCATTGGGTAGAAGCCTGCATTTTTTGAGATAAAGATCACATGAGGTCTATCTACAAAACCATCCACATGTGGTCAGCTGACAACTGGGCTGTCTGTTAATGTATACAGTTACAGATTATTACAGTTAAACAACTGATCCTAATTGTGAGAGCTACTTACATGCACTGACAACAGGCAGTGCATGTTGGACTCAATCCTAATATGCACTGGAGCAGAAGTCAGCATAGCTGAGAAGGAGAGTGGGGTGGCTCTAAGCCATCTTTCTGCCTCCACTAATCCTGGCATTTGTCGGGGGTCAATCTGGTACTCAGTGCACATTAGGCTACTCTAGGGGTTGCACTGCATTTTACTGGTGCTATTACAAGGTGAAGATTGACAGAGTGCATTGCACTATAGCCCTGTCCCCAGCCTCCAAAACATCAAGGCTTCATGTATTACATTGCAGGTATCCACATATCCAAACTCTTTAGTAATCTATGTGAAATGAGCTAGCAGTCTCTGTTTAGTTCCTAAGAGGCATCACAGGTATCACCATAAATGGCACTAATAGTCACTCATTAATGGCAGTGTCAGCAGAGAAGTGAAGGAGTGAAAGGCTCTGGACTACCCCAGTCATGGGGGGAGGCATAGTGGCAAGGTGACATGGGGTAAGTTTGAACTGCTGGTGTCCACGATGTACCTGTTCTCTGGATAACCAGAACATTTCAAATCTCTTGGGGCATGCAATGTAATCTCTTTTCCACAAATTACAGTAATTTAAATATATTTGTAGGGATTTTTAAAATGTATATTAAATGCATGCACACAAGTAATAAACCATGCTTAGCCCTGTAAGAGGGTTTTGCATTATAATCTTTTTCACTATGTCAGTTGTCGGTGCTACTGTAGTTGCCTATATTATGTACATGTTTAAGGGCACTGCGCACATTTACTGTCTATGTAAAGCCATGGAAGTTTGTGTATTGATATTCTGGGTTAGGAACTGGTTGTGCTTCAGACTTCATAACTGGATACAAAAATCTTCAAAATGTAAGATGAGTCAGAAGGAAATAGCTTACAAATACCCTGTTCTTACCACCATTCCAAAGTACCATAAGCTATTTGTGGTGGGGTCTACTGCAGCCAGATGCCACCGCAGGAAGCAGATTACCCGCATCTTGGCATTTATATTTTCTGACTGCCACTCGGAGCAGAGAGAAGAGAGAGGTTGTTCATGCAACTCATTCACTCTCTACCACAGCGTTGTTGTTTTTTTAACTTTAACAATCAAATTTAATATGTAGAAGTACATGGAGACATATATACCACTGATCACTACTAGCAGGCACCTGTAAGCACAATAGCCAAGTAAGCAAGTAACTTTAAAAATTAAAACAGTGTGTGCTTCTAGTAATAAGAAAAAGATTACAAAAACTTTAAACAGAAAATAGCGCTTTTTTCAGATAAACATAGCCAGCCTAGGGGGAATGGACACAGTTTAACCGTGGGAAAAAAGTACTGGAAAGCTCTTAGTACATTTAAAAAGAACACTGAAGGATAAAAAGATCACAATATCACTCTGCTATACCCATTATTTTGATGAGCCTGTTTACATTTTGGCCCTGTCAACCACGACAATACTCCTTTTATTTCCTCTACCGTACATACCTCAATCAAGCACAAGATTTACTTCTCAGTGACAAAGTGAGGCAATGTATTAGAAGCTCCAACACTGTAAACACTACTCTTAATCCACTACACTTACCCATAATCCAGCAGAAATATTCAGCAACTGCAAACATTGCATGAATTTTATTCTTTATTAACATGGATTTCATGCCTGAAGGAGCCAAAAAACTATTTTGAATCATTCTGCTAATTTTCTACCCTACAAATTGTCTAACTGCAACATCAATATTAGCAAGGCGAAAGATGGTGGTTTTAAGAATAATAACTGAAAATATGAGATTAGCCATCACATAATATACATTGTGGATTTTAATTTCCATATTTTTGAACTTTAAGAGGTGCTGGAATAATGTAAAAATTGAGTGAACAGGAACCTTAGTTAAGGAATAATGCCCTCTCAATAATGTTGTTCAGCATGAGATCAAAGGAAATTTTTACATAAGGACTCAACATTTCAGGAAGAAGAAATTAAATATGCACATCAAGGACATTCTGAGGAAAAGATGAACAACAAAAATATCACAAAGGTGATGAATGCTTTGCTATTTCTCAAACCAAAGGTCAGGTGCAGGGAGTGACAGATGTCCACCACTGCTTACTTGTCAGCTGTTGGAGAGCGAAGCAAGGAGGAAACAAAAGAGTTGACATAATTCAATGACAATGAATTCTAGACAAGAAAGAAAGAAAGAAAGAAAGAAAGAAAGCATGTGCTATTCTCCAATTCTAAGCATTATCTCCATAAAAGGTTTAGGTTTCTTATGTACAAAGTACACAGCAGATCAAGTTTTAAAAGCACAAAAATTAACAGGATAAAGCATAACATTGCAATTAAGAAAAAAAGTTGACGTGAAATAGCCATTATTTATAAGCTTTATAAAATCATAATCTCCCATCTTACCTCACATACAGGGAAATAGGCACAACTGAATTGAGTATGATAATGTACGACCAAAATGTGAGAAATCCTGAAAATACAGAACTGTTCACCACTTCATTCCAGTAAAGGTAAATTCTGAAACGGGTCCCAACCTGTTGTTCCCATACTGAATTTCCTATTGCCAGAATTATTCCCATACATACCAAAAAGCCAAAGATCTGAAATGAGAATAGCAGAGCTGGTTAGCTTTTTCAAAATGTGTACTATTTCCTAAAATGGACACATGGAAAGGATACATTTCACCTACATATACATATTGGTATTGCCCAGTCTAAGTAAACAAGGCAAAGAATATTTCATCTCTAATAAGATGAGGGGAAAATCTCACTTTGCTGTTCTTTGCCACAAATAAAGGCCCAAATTCTGAGTCCATAATTAGTTTGTCTCCAGTTAGTCCCCATTCCTTACTCAGTTTGTCTAGATATTGGCTGTGTACAAACCAGAGCCCATGTTCCCCTGACCCTTTCGCAAGTGCACAGCACATGTGTGTGTATGTATGTACATACATGTACGAGTGTGCCTGCTTTGCACAGGGAGAGAGGCCAAATTGCAGTCCGGAGCCAAAGGGAGGCTAGGTCCCCATCTCCCTCTGCTCTGGGTCATGGGACAGTTACAGTGCAGCGTGAGGGGGTTTAAGATGCATCACATACATCACATTGTAACCATACGCATACTCCCCATGCATGTTGGGGAGCTCTGGGTGCCATCCTGCCTTCCTGAGACACAATATCTTTTGATGCTCTCCCCGGATGATGTAGTTCTACACTGCTACTTTCTATGGGCTGTGATCTAAAGGCAAATCTAGCCAATAGTGAAGACCTTGGGATCTGGCCCAACATCATTATAATCCTATGTTGTACATAAACTACAAATAGGTGCAGTTATTAGAAGAGTTGGCAAAAAGGGTTTTTTTTATTGTTGTGGTAAATAACAAAAACCTCAAGGAGCACTTGCTGTGAGCATTCTTATAAAAGTTTGGTTTAAGATGTGTTTTTCTAAGTCATCGGTAAAGGATTAATTTTAATTTTAATTAATTTTAATAGCATGTGGGTACAGAAGAGCTATAAATAACTTTAAAAATTTGAGTAGTATTTAGCCATGTTGGAAAAATTTCACTATTTCTCACATGGAAACTTCTCTTTTAATCCACAACCCCATCTATGAATCTTTGGATTTACTCAGTTAAAAAGTTTCTGCAACTCCAAAATTTCTCCCATGATCAAAAACACAACACTTAAAAAAGTAGTAGCTTTGAAGTCTGCCTATGCCAAAACTGCAATATTTTGTTTCACTAAGTAACCATAAGGAATTTGGATATATCCTTAGCTTTAATCGTAAAGACCAAGTTTGACACAAAAGTGAAATACTCAGTCCACTGAAGGTTTCTAGTTACAAATTTCTGCACCTGATCTTCACTACCTGGGGATAACCTGTCACAAAAACCAAATTAACAGGAAGGGTACAATCCTGTTCTCACTGAAGTTTAGGAACCAGAACGATGGTGAGAGATAAGAAAAATTGCTGTAAAAACTTTCTGTGCATTTGTCTTTAGCTCACCATACCAGTGGCCTCATGAAAAGATCCTGCCCTAAAGAACAATGGATTGCTACTGCTTGTAAATACTCCTGTATGCAGGGGTGCTCAGTGACAGATAATGGTCTTCAAGATGGATAAAAGTGTGTCTTTCAACCTTATGTATGCATCTGTGCTGCAATGCTTTCATATTGGTATCGTACGTTGTCCAAAAATATCTACTGATACAGATAATTCCACGATATCTGAAATGATAATTTAGTAGAGTAGATTAATTATGTAGATGCAATGCCCACTGATTTTTCCTGATCTGACTATAACAACTTACCCATAATACTAAAGTATTCATCAGCCGGTCAATGCTTGTTCTTTTAAATTTAGTTCTACCACTGTTTTGCATTAATTTAGTGTCAGGGCCTATAAAAAAAAGTAACAAATCTTTTTTTAAATCATTACATGATCAATTATTTACTAAAATTATTAAATACATTACTGAAATTTTTAAAAATACACATATTGAAGCTACGTTTTTCTAATGCATATGCAAGAAATAAATTCTAAAAACAGATATCATTTTGCAAATTTTAATTGTCTAAAAGCATTCCTGAGCTTTCACAATCAATTTTGAAAAATATTCCGCAGCTGTAGAATGGTGGTTAGGCTGGGGGGTGAAAATCATCATCTAATTTAAAATCTGATTGCTGCAAAAATATTTCATTCCAGACTGAGGTAATTTCCAAGGACTTTATTCACATAAAACTACAAAATTAGGAACAAGCTGTTCCGTGTTCTTCGCTTGCCTCTCCCCCGACTTCCTTTGAGACCTCATTACACATTACCTCTCTAAGCTCCTGTTTCCTCATCTATGAAATGGGGCTCATACTTACCTACCTATCTCAGCAGGGTTTTCTGGGGCTTAAATTATTAATATCTGTAATGCACTTTGAGATGGTCAATTGGAAGCTGATACAGAAGTGCCAATTAATTATTATTATTATTTTATTCATTCATTAAGTTTCCACAAGTTCTGTAATGCTAGCCCACAGCAAAGCAAGCACTCAGCCTCTCCTCTCATTACGTGTGGTTGTTCAAGTCAAACTTCCCCTCTGCTGGGCTTACATGGAATATAGTCAACTTTTATGTCACTGGAGACTACTGAGTATGTAAAGTAATGTGTATTAACATCCACATGAATGAAAAGAGTGGTCTTCAAGGCCCATCAGCAAGCTGCTGTTTGATGGCAGGCCACATAATTCATAAAAGCTCCTCAAAAATGAACTCCTTTTTAATTCCAAAAATCTAAGAACAAGGACATGCTCAACTAAAGAGCAAATGAACCTGGCCCAACCAATTTACTGGCTACATTCTAGGTACAAATATATGTGTTTTGACACATCTGGGCATTGCCCATGAATTTAAAACCAGCAGTGCTCTACATACATATTTGCAGCAAACACATAGCTAAGATTATTCAGGAAGAGCTGGGATGTCTTTTTTTGGGTATGGGTTTTAAATGTGAATTCTTCTTGATTGATAATTGTAGTATAGCCAAGGACTCTGATTCACGTCACATGGATACTGATTTGCACAATGTCTTAATTTGACTATATGGAATGTAATTACCTCATATATCATTAAATATATGTATAGTTTAAATTCATCCTGAGGTTCCCTCTATTATTACTATTATTAAATGTGTATAATAGATTAGTACCCACAGTGCCCAGTCAAGAACTGGGATTCATTACATTAGATATAAACACAAAGATAGACACAGTCCATGCATCAAAGAGCTTACAACATAAGACGAGGACTAACAAAGGTTGGATAAGGAAGAAATTTAAATATACACAACTTTTATCTACATATCTATAGACACACACATTTTGTTTGGTATTACATAAATTTTGTGTAAACATAATGTCAGCCTTCTCTAACTGCTTACGCTCACCCAACCATTATATGTTGACGTGGAATAGAAGTCCATCTTCCCCTTAATTGGTGGGCAATTTTACAACAGCATCCCAATGTGTTGCATCTACCAGACCTAATTACTATCTATACTTTCCTATATCATTCCTAATGCCAGGATTTTCCTTGTCTCCGTTTCTTTGCATTACTAGGACATATGAAATTTTGTAATATATTTGTGAGCATCTATTGCATTCTTGCAAAATTCTACTTGCGATTTGCTCTGGGCGAGTAAAATATCATTAGCTCTTTCATCAGACATCATGGTAAATGGACAGGAAAGTACATTTTCTGCTAGGACTGGTAAAGTCATGACAATTTTGCAATGCTGATCCATTACTTTCATATTTATTACATTTTTGTTCAGGACTTTGGAACACTGACACCCTCAGGGACAACTAAGTTTGAGATGCTTGTATACAGAGATAAATTCAGATGGCTAGTGCCTGCTATCACCTACTGGTTAAAATAGGAGAGAGGGAGTTAAGATATTTAGGTTCTACTCTTGCCTCTGCTAGTGAATAATTGTGACACTTCGGTCAAGACAGCTAACCTCTCCATGCCTCGCTTTTCAGCCCATCTGTAAAATGGGGACAATTATACCTATAAACTTTGTAAAATATTTCTGAGATCCTAAGATGAAAGGATTTAGCTGAATGTGGAGTATCTACGCCAGCCGTTATAGACACCAAGCCATAATGATACATAACTGTTATACAGGGTATTGGTATATGAGCACATTAGGGGTTAAAACTGCTGTTAATCCATAAAGGTTGGTCTTACCGGCAAAAATAACCATTCCAAAGCACCAGCCTGTGTTTCTCAACACACAACCTCGTAGCAGCATCTTTTCATTATTGAGCGAGTACCTATTATCTTTCCAGAAAAGAACTCCTGTGAATTTATCCAGCTTGTTGTTAGGAGGTTCACAGACAACAACACCTGTAAAGTGAAAAATTAAATTCTTATCACCCTTTAACACACAGTTTACCAGGATAACATTTTACACTAACTAGAAGTTTCTGGGATAACATTCTTCAGGTTTGTCTACACTTCAGACACTGCAGCTGCACCACTGTAGTGCTTCACTGTAGACACAACCTTCACTGACAAGAGCGCTTCTCCCATTGGTATAGGTCAGTGTTTCCCAAACTTGGGACGCCGCTTGTGTAGGGAAAGCCCCTGGCGGGCCGGGCCGGTTTGTTTACCTGCCGCGTCCGCACTTCCAGCCGATCGCGGCTCCCACTGGCCGCGGTTCACTGCTCCAGGCCAATGGGGGCTGCGCGGGCCGAGGGACGAACTGGCTGCTGCTTCCAGCAGCTCCCATTGGCCTGGAACGGCAAACCGCGGCCAGTGGGAGCCGCAATTGGTCGGACCTGTGGACGCGGCTGGTAAACAAACCGGCCCGGCCCACCAGGGGCTTTCCCTACACAAGCGGCGTCCCAAGTTTGGGAAACACTGGTGTAGGTAATCCACCTCTCCGAGATGTGGTAGCTAGGTCTACAGAAGAATTCTCAGAAATTGACTTAGCACTGATCTATACCTGGGGTTAGGTCAGTAGATATACGTCTCTCAGGGGTGTGTGGATTTTTCACAGCCCTGAGGGAGGTAGCTATACTGAAATAAATTTGTAGGAAGACCAGGCTGAAAGACTAACAAGCTCTTTTATATAACAACAATCAGAGATTCAGTGGCATTTAAAACCTAGGAAGAAACATCACTCTGTATCTACATACATTAATACTATTAAGTTTATTATTTCTTTACAGTCGTGCCTAGATGCCCGAACTGAGATCAGGACCCCATTGTGCTAGGCACTGTACAATCATATAATGAGACACAGTCCCTGCCCCAGAGAGTTTACAATCTAAACAGGCAAGACAGACGGAATGGTGGAAGTGGAACAGAGACACAAAAAAGTGAAGTGATTTGCCAGAGGTCACACAGCAGATCACTGGCCAAACAGAGCATTAACTGAGGTCTCTTGATTCCCAGTCCAATGCCCTATCAAATAGATCACACTATCTCTCCCTAATGAAACACCTAGTAATACTGATATTAATCTGGCCTACTAGTATAAAGTAGCACACTGTGCTGCCCTGTGGGAGTTTTGCAGTAACTGGCAATTATTGATGTCAGTGCCCCTATAGACTGGCACTCAAATAAGTGATAAGCTGGATCTTTGGAGTAGTGGGAAGGAAAAAGCTTCCTGCACTGTTCTTGTGTGCATATCTTTTGGTCAACAGCACTGACAGCTGACACAGAGAGGCAAGATTGTGTTCTCTGCTGCAGATAAAGAACTATGGTTAAAGTCCATAGAAAATTAAATAGGCTGAGAAAAGGAAAGAAAAAATTGACCACCAATAACCATTGTGACATTCTATACCTTGGGGAAGCGTGCTGTAACCCCCATATTCCTCATTTTCATATAATCGTGAGCTTACGTATAAAGCATGTCTTCTAAGGTATCAGGAGAAAGGTTATGATCTGCTGAAAGTCATTTCTCTATCCATATATGTATATAGAATCATAGAATCATTTCTCTATCCATATATGTATATCATTAATGCATATGAAGTTATGAGAATTGTGTAGTATGATTGTCACTAAAACATGCTGTAAGTTGGGGTAATCAGCCAGATATTAGCTCCCCAGAGGCAACAGCAAGGAAAGTAACCAACGCCAGGGCAGGGTGTCAAACAACCCAGCAACAGCCATTGTCCAGCAAGGGAGCTACAATGCAATGACTCACCTGCACGAGGCCATACCAGGGGAATTGCTCAACCTTGCTTGGAGAGACCCAGTAATGCTCACCTGACTCTGAGGGGGGCGATGCGCAAAGCCAAGAGGGAGGAAAGGACATGATAAAAGGAAGAGACGTTTGCCATGCTCTTCCTCTTCTTCCACCTACATCTACAGATATCACACCAAGCGACTGAAGCGCTGATCAAAGGGGAGAGCCTGGCTGAAGAGCCACCAACCAGCCTGTGGTGAGAAGCATCTAAGTTTGTAAGAGCACTGAAAGTGTTAAGATCATCTTAGAATGTGTTTTGCTTTTATTTCATTTGACTAAATCTGACTTGTTATGCTTTGATTTATAATCACTTAAAATTTATCTTTGTAGTGAATAAATGTGTTTGTTTATTCTACCTGAAGCAGTGCGTTTGGTTTGAAGTGTGTCAGAGACTCCCCTTGAGATAACAGGCCTGGTACATATCAATTTCTTTGTTAAATTGACAAACTCATATAAGCTTGCAGCGTCTAGTGGGCATAACTGGACACTACAAGACGGAGGTTCCTAGGGTTGTGTCTGGGACCAGAGATATTGGCTAGTGTCATTCGGTTGCAAGTAGCTGGGAGCAGGTTACATGCCAGAGGCTGTGCGTGAACAGCCCAGGAGTGGGGGTTCTCACAGCAGAGCAGGGTAAAGCTGGCTCCCAGAGTCAAGGATTGAAGTGACCTAGCAGATCACCAGTCCAGATAACACCAGAGGGGAACGTCACAAGCATACCTTTGCTTTTAAACAAAGTAGCTCCTGTATCATGAGGAAAGCGTCCCTTTGCTTTTTAGGACCCATTTATCTACGTTCGCCTGCCAAGAATCCTTATTCTTTGGAGGAACACTATTACAGAAGGTTTGTCTACAAGGCAAAAAAAACACTTCACTGCAGTGAGTCGTAGAGCCCAGGTCTACAGACTCAGGCTCCCAGAGCTCACAGTACAGTGCTAAGAATAGCCTTGTAGACATGCAGGCTCTGGCTGGAGTTTGGACTCTGAAGTCCAGGGAAGGATGTGGGTTTCGGAATGCAACCTCCAGCCTGAGCCCAAATGTCCACACAGTTATTTTTAGCACAGTAGCATGAGCGTTACGAGCCCAAGTCTGTAGGCCTGGGCTCTGAGACTCACTGCCACTGGGGTTTTTTGGCTTGGTTTGTTTTCTTTTGCCGTGTACACATACTCTAAGAAAACACCTGGAGGAGAGGCTACACTTTTCTTTGAAGATCTTGACATCTTTTGGAAAAACTGCTTTCCAGGAATTAAAGTTGAGCATTAGGAGTGGAAAGATGGCCCCTGCCCTTTGAAACCTTTACCTACCAGAGATCCTCTTTAAGATTTTTGAATAGTGAGAGGGTGGGTTGTTTTTTTTAAGGCTCGCGTTTCCACGTTCCTGTTGGTGAGGGAGTACCTAATTCCCTGTCATCGTGCAGGCCAGGGAATTACACAGTAAACACACATTTTCAGTAATATTAAGGTAGAACATAGACTGTATTCTGCATTTCTCTTTATATTTTGTCTGAAAGGGTAAAAGTTCAGCTGGTTAAATGCCGTATATATCAGTCTGAAAATTGGGGCTTCAGATAAATGTGGTACATGATTAACCAGGGTACAGCTTGTGTTTATTTAGAAAGTGTATAGGAATGCCAGTGATTATTTTCAGCTGTCCTAAGTTTTTTTCACTACTCTTGTTTAATTTGTTCCATGGTCCTGATTAGAAAATGCTCAAATTTGGAAAAAAACAGTAAACACACAGTCCTGTGCTGCAGATGGTGAGATATTCTAAAAGAATTCCATTAATGGCATCTTGCACATCATGTGATGTAAGGCAAAAACAAACTCCTGTTGCAGCCAACTGGGATTAGTGCTTTTGGAATGAAAACAGAAATGGCAGCCTACAGCTTGTAGGAAGAGAACGCAGAGAGTGACAGAAGGGGCCACCCACTTATACAAAGGTGATATGCATGCAAATTAATTGCCCCTGGATTTGGTCACATCCCAAATTCACAGTGCATCTGTTCTTAATTCTCATGCCCTGAAGGTTGAGAGTTTGGCCCAACATAAAATGTGAAAAACTGAACTGCACAGGACAATGTCAGACTGCTAAATTCTGTGTAGCTTAACATGCTGTTCAGAAATTTGTGATTATGAAATCTCATGCACATTTGGCTTCACCCAAACTAACCAAATTTGTGTATTTAGTTATGGGGAAGGAGGAGCCTTTTCATTTGCAGAGTTACACAAACAATGGGTATTGTCTCCAATATTTTAAGACCTCTCACCAGGCTGTCCTACTTCATGAACCATTTCTTTTCCTTTTTGATAGATTTTGTTTCTACTTTGAAAACAACATCTTTGGCATGACCTTTATAACAATGGCTTGGTCCCACAGTTATGTCACAGTTTACTCATATATCCTACTTTCTAGGGTTAGAAGTTGCCCATAAAAATTTGCTGTGGACTGAAACTTGGCATAATGCTTGTACTGCCTGCCTGAGAGAGAATGGTTTTAAAAATGGTAAAAAAACCCAAATCTGCTAGGCCATTTATAGGTAATAACTTTCAGTAGGATGTCTCCCGTTGACCTCTCAGAACTGAAACACCAAAGATTATATTTCTCCCCTTCTTCCACTATTAAATCCAGAGTATGTTCTTTGGTCCCCGATTTGTGTTAGTATGTGAAGTGGAAATTCCAATATATTACAAGAAAAGCTGTTTTCATGCTTTTTCCAGCCAAACCAAAACAGTCAATTACTGGAGACTTGCTACAAAGCTGTTTGCAAGATTTCCTGCCCAATGTTTAGAGCAAAGAGTCTCAGTCCCATTTTTTTACATTTCAGAAAACCGCATGAACTTCAGGATCTCAAAAGAATAAAGCTTTTTGAGGATTATTTAGCATTTAGTCTATCTAGTACAGATTATTTATACAGTGCTCACCACATTGGTATCTGAACACATAGGCCAATCTTGTAAATTGTCTTGATAGTTTATAAGCCTAGGCAAAGAATCTGTTGCCTACTTTTTAGCATACCATGTCTGTCTATTAATACATCTTGGAATGGCCTGTGTGGCCCGCCAACATAGAATCACAGAAAGGTAGGACTGGAAGGGACTTCGAGAAGTCATCAAGTTCAGTCCCCTGTGCTACGGCAGGACCAAGTAAACCTA